CCCCCCCCCCCCCCCCCCCGTTGTTTTTTTTTTCCTGCTCACTTCTCTTTGCGCTGGGACGTGCTTAGAGTAAACTGACCCCTGTGTGTCTTGTTAACTTGTCACATCTTTATTTTATTTTTCTGTAATTTAATAGCTTTTATTTTTTTTTTTCGCTTAAATAGTGGATACAAAACAAAGCCACTGCAAAAGTTAACAAATTACTTTAAAAAGACTACAAAAACTTATCCAAACAAATTTCGTTGTACGCTATTTAGACTACAACCACAAAAGAAAAATACAAATTAACATAGAAACATTCACATTGCCATCAACAAGAGAAAAGGAGAAAAAAAATACATATAACTTGGCACCACTTTATCACGTTAAGTAGCGTTTTTTTTTTCCTTTTTATTTAGACTCTGCGGTTACATAGTAAGCACAGCTCCTGAAGTATTTGTTTGCCATGTTTTCCATTGTTCTCCGAACGCGGCATCGCTTACGAAAGCGTTAGCTGAAGCCTGCGAGGTAAGAGTGGTCACCGTTTGATTCAAAATATTTCTTCCTTTCTGATGCCCTGAAATTCTCCGGTAAATGTGTCTTAACAAATTGCGATAGCCAAAGATATATAACGAATACCAGTTTCTTGTGTGCTCTCCAAACTTTCCAAGTGCATCTGTTACTCGATAAACGCACAGCTAAGAGCTGAACCGTCTTTTATCGCATAGCTAACAAAAATGCTTGGTTTTTGATTGACTACAAACTTCTCGTAGCTCGCGGCACAGAAAAGTAAACGTTTCTGTTGGTTGGTACAAACACGCAACAATCGTCTAGTTTGAAAGAAAGTTCTTCCCTTCAAACTGACAGTGAAAATTTGCTTATTTGTTCTTTAAAGATCAATGTAAACTAAGCAGAAACAAAGGTAAATTACCCTTTAACCCTCGGACCCTTTTCCGGAAGCTTCTTTACTGGCTTTTGTCCACCGTTGAACCTGTTTTGACATTAATTTCTTAATCATAATATTGTTTGTTGTTTGAACTAAAATGAGTTTTTCTTCATTTTCATTTTTCAGCTACGTTTCCAGAAATGCATCGATGCTCATCCAGAAATTGTACAAAAAGTAACAGCTACAGAGCAGGAAAAGGCGAAAGAAAAAATTGATAAAGAGAAGGAAAAGGTAAGTTGAAGCAAGCGTACAGTACACTTAAAAATATTTTTGGAAAATCATGAGATCAGTAATGATTTTCAACAGGGAACACCTATCGAACCAGTAATTGAAACGTAGTCTAACCAGTGTTCAACAAAACCGCGTTCTAAGCCGTTTACACTTTGCCGAACGCTCTTACGTAAACACCATTTATCATGAACAGTTTCACGGAAGCATCATAATATGGCTTGGACTAGAAAAGCATTTGTCTTTTTAAAATAACTCACTAAGGAAGATATTCAAAGACCGCGGTCTAAGTTAGACTTCGTTTGAGTAAGGGACACATTGAGTTCATGGGTATGTGTAATCAAATGGCGACGAGTGAAATAAGGGAATAATTTCACGCGCGTTTTGTCCAAGTTGTAAAAGTTTCCCAAGCCTTTTTTACCTATCAATTTCTTGGGTGACAAATTACGCTCACAATCTTGGCTTCGTGACTTGTTTATCGTATCGAGAATTCCACGCACCGTAAACGGTTAGAACATAAATTTTGGCATGAATTCACAGTTTTTCTGAAATTGACGACAAAACACCTGTTATAATTCTTCTTGATGTGCACTTTCGTGTGTTTAGGTATTCTAAAGCGTCGTTTAATGCCCTAATGTCATCATTCATAACATTTAAAACCTTGACGCCACCTTGGCACTGAGACATATGGAACGTTGCCATAGCAATTTTGTAATTTCACTCGTGATGTTATCAATTTAACAATAAAATTTCGCGAAAAAAAATTAAGACGAAATTTGTCACCCATGATATTAGATGCATAACAAAAGCTGCAATTGGTGACAAAATTATTCGAGACACTTTGTCCTCGGTAATTTTTTTTGCGTTTTACCGAGAATACCTTGTCAGTTATATCAGTTTTGTGCCGCTGCTCAACGTCCATGGAGGAAACAAGAAACAAGTGTTTATTGGTTGAAAAATAATGGGGAGGGGTCCATAATGTTTTGCTTTCTGCACCGTACGTCATTTGAGGACAGTGTCTCAAGAAATGCTGTCGCCAATGCAGTTGTCCTTTTCGTAAAGGTCGCTGCAATTTTTAAGACACTGATATACAAGTAGGTAATGACTGAATATAAACATTACCATTGACAAAAGGAATGGGCGGGTACAGGTAATCGATCTCGCACAAAAAAGTGTAAATCTTTTAGTTCTTCTCGCTAGAGCAATATGTAAAAGGTTTTCTAAGGTTTCATTACGGTAAAGATGTACACAAGAAAAAACCCAGTGGAAAATAAGCCAACTGAGTGATGTTTTCTCCGAGAACCCGATGAGGATATAGATTCCACTGGGTCTGTTACAGCGGGGTGTGTCATGCATTTCACACATTTCCACTGTCACCTTTCATTATTTAAGATCTTAGGGCCTGTTTACGTGGGGGTGGGGTACTCCAGGTAGGTGAGGCAACATGTGGCGGGTCATCCAACCTATCGTGTAAACATTATCAAGTTAAACAGGCGGGCGGGTTACCTCACCTTCCTGGGGTCCCCCACCTCCATGTAAACAGGCCCTTAGATTCTAACCGAAATTGATTTAATTTTCGTTTCCAGCTTTTATTTATAAATGAGACTACCATGAAATAGCAACAATCTTGAAATCGTCCATGCGATTTATTTTACTCGCTTTATCTCTACATTTTCGTTGCTGCTTTGCACCACTTTTTATTTTAATTTATTTTACAACAGGCTGGTTTTATGACAAGTGTTCAAGGGTTCCTGGGAAAGCTTGGCCCAAAGAAAGGAGGAGGGAAAAAGGTCAGCCAGTGATTATTAAAGTTTTCTTAGAGCAGCAGAGCTAAGGGTATAGTTTGTGATTTGAAATTTGGCCATTTAGTCTGTCAGCAAGGTCTGGGGTTGGAGGGGGAGGGGTAAAAAGGGAGCCACCCCTACTCCAACCCCCCTAACAGGGGGATTCCTCACAAGTTAAATAACTGTGCTTTATTTTCATAGTCAGATTTTAAAAAAATCTTAAGGTACCGCTCAATATAAGTGACTAGACTGTTTCAATTTGCAGTTTGACACTAGGAGTAAAAATACCAAAATTAATGATTTGGCTCTGTTTGGACTTTCCTTCACTTCAGTTGACATTATTAGGTCATCAATTAAGCAGAGAAATGCTTTTCTTTCCTCTTAAAAATAATTATTGTTGGAAAGTGTGAAAAGTCGAAATACAGAAGGTATTTCTCTGGCCATTCAACTTTTGGAGAAAACAGAAATAAAGTAGACAATTTACGTGACATTCTAAACAACAACGACAACAATTTATTCAATTTAATAATTAAATTGATCAGTGTTGTGGTACATGCTATCACAATATTGTTTATATCTGAAAAAGAAGCAACACACCCTAGAAGCGCAAAAAAGGGGATCTTTCCAGCCCAGTTAATTTTAAATTTTGTACCTGTGAATTAAATTTTAAGGTGCGATTATGTAATGAACCACTCCAGGGGTATTTTTGCAAACATCCGTATCTTGTTTTTTGGAATTTTTGTTGTATAACATGTGGAATCTTGGTTGATTTATGTTGTGGGGCACTTTTTGGAGTGACAGGATTAAATGTTTTTCTTTTCTTTTTTACACAGGAAGAGAGCAGTACACAAGAAACCAAACCTTCAAGCAATATTCCAGTAATAACTTGCAAACCTTCACATACATTCATGGTCAAGTACTATGGTGCTCTGCCTGTGGCCGTGGGAACGGGAATAGAGACAGTAGAGGAAGCAGCTAAGGTGTGTGGACTTGTGAATATCATTATTGTTCCTCCCCTTCAAAAGTGTAGAAGTGTATAGCCTGAGAAAACAGCCGACATTTCTCGACGTCACCAATGGTTTCCTTTGCGTAATGACGTCTGATGAACGAGCGCAGAAATTCCATGCTAATGACGTGTCACTACCCAAATCTGGGTAATGCTTCTGATTGGTTGACGCAAATTTCCCTCGCGACATGACCAATAGACCTCTTCGGCTAACTCAATGTTGTACCCGATTCAAACCCTTTGGTAATAAAACGTTTTGTTTCAGGAATTTCCACATCATTTAAATGTGAATGCCACATTAATATATAGATTTAGCCAGGGCTAAAAGCGAAGCTCCTATTAATTCGAATTTATAATTCAAATCAAACAATAAACTTGTATTCCACAAATCAGTTAACTTTAGAGCACATTCATGTGACTTTTGAGGGAAAGACTACGTGATTTTCGAGAAAAATAATTTGCAAACAGTCCAAGCTAAGAGTGAACTTAATCTTACATCGAGTTGATAGCCTTTATATGTACACCCAAAAACTAGCAATCATCTTCGATCACATTTAAGAGCCACTCTTGATCACAGTAGATTAGGCCTGGAAAACAAATCAGGCCGAATTTTTTGCGTTCGACATGTTTACTTTACAAAATCTTGCCAACAACTCTGGGGACGTGTAAACCAACCTTTTATACTTTTTGTATATCACATCTGAGGTGAAACAGTACCATGAGGCGCCGTTTTAATCGTACAGACCTCGGACAGAATGCAGTGTTTCACAATTTTGCAATACAAATTGCACTCATTCAATATTCAGGACGATCGAAGCACGTGTGGGCTTTTAGCGAAACCGTCAAAAAAATTTCCAAAATCACCTATACGGCTAGCCGGTTCTCACTTTTGACAAGTCGACTGTTTAAATTAAGATTAATATAGTTATACGCTTCAACACAATAAAGAATTTATTATAAAGATCTGTAATCTTCAAAAGCGTTTGATACGCGCGGCATTTTGACTACTCCTGCAAGCGATGTTCATGAGCGACTGAAAACAAACGGCACAGCGATTAAAATTGCAAAAGAGACTACTAACAATCAATAAAGAAAAGGGAAAATAATTCGGTGAAACATATACAGAGACAACAATTTTCATTCACGAAGACAAGTATTAAAGTGTCTCTGAAAATCCTTGTTTACGTTTTAAGCCGGCTTCCCGGTGTTTGCTTTTTTCAAAGATGAACTCGAGGCAAGAAAATCGCTCAAAGCTTTCTTTTACAGCCAGAATTATAACCAAATATTCTTTGGAACGTTTTCTTTCTATTTGCGGTGAGAAAATGTCTAAAGGCTTTTTAAAGTTCCATAAGCTTATAATCAAACCTGATACTCGGTCACTCTCGGTCAGATCATTGTCTCAAATCTTACAAACGTGCATAAACCAAATAGCCGCGTAAACTACGCTCGACTTCATTAAATTAGATATAAAAAACAAACATCAAATACAATAATTACTCAGGCTTACCTTTCGAGATGCACTGAAAACTATCAAGTAAGGCCAGAATCGCTTCAGACTTTTCAACCGTCTTACGCATCAAGCAAGGTGAAAAACGAAAACGATGCCATCCGAAATCGGATTTCCGACTTTGCCAAAGCGACGTATTTCTCAACCAAAAACCCAATAAACAAACTAGCCATGAATAACAGAAGACTCTTGATAGCAGCTGAATTTCACTTTGTACATTCAGTGGAAAAAGACAGTTAAAAACATCACAAGTTGACACAAAACTCTGTCAGCTTCAGCTGTCAAAGTAAACAAGTTTCAAGATGCTGCATAAATTTTCCGCGTGAACTCACCTGTCAAATTTTGACCAATCAGAGTATAAAAATTGGACGTAGAGCGTGACCAACGCGTGACCTTGGTGAGAAAAGTCAAAAGCAACTAGCATGTCCTCCCTGCCTGTAAAAACTGGCTTAATTTTTAGCTTCCGAGGTCAGTTTGAAATCAAAATTTTAATTGTGCGGCACATATAAAACACAACATAATTCATATGAATTGAAAAATTAAGCTTGAGCCTGCAATCATTTGAAAACTAGTAACTTGTCAGCGGATAACTTCAAAAAGATACTCGACCTCGATTGGTCGACACCTGAGCCCGCGATACGATCAGGTGATACTGGTCAGCGGATATCCTGTTTTGACAGCTGTCAATTGATCACAAGATTGATGTGCAATATGTCTGCAATATCAGTCTTCCTGTGCTCCCAAACTAGCTAGAAAGTGTGATTGAACATTGGTTGCCCTGTGGTGCGGACGGACGGGCGGGCTGAGGGCGGTGTACGGTCATGTGATTACCAAGTTTTCTGGGATGGGTAGATTTACTTACCCATGGTGCTCCGCAGGCGCGCTTCGCACGCCAGAGCTCCGCTATAATGCAAATACAATACACAGAGAATCTTATCCCGGGCGATTTGAATTGGGTATAGCATTGAGTTAGCCGAATAGGTCTATCAGAAGCGACTACCCATATCTGGGTTAAAATACGTCATCAGTATGGAATTTGTGCGCTCGTTTCTCAGACGTCATTTCGCGGGGAAGGCCAGTGGTGGCGTCGCTGCTTTCTCAGGCTAGCAGATATATTGCTAGACCTTGTATAGGTTAAGGAGATGTTACTTTACTTCAAATAATCCTGTAAATACGAGTTAAAGCCGGTTGTAAAAACAAAACAAAGAACGTCTTCATGCTTTTGTCGTTCACCTGATGCATTCGCTAACTGCCTGGGATTTTTCTCAAGCAAAACAATCTCGTTACCAGAGGCTGCAATCCTTTTGGTCAGCACCAAGCAAAACGCAAAAAATCAACAATGCGCACGCAGAACCACGATCCTCTTTTTCAAACTTCAATCATGTTTTAGTTTACTGATGTAGGCAGACCATAATAAATGAATTCCAGCTTCCCAAAGCACGCGTAGCTATATAAAAGGTACGGTAAAATGGCCAGCAAAAACTTGCAACTTGTTTTGCAACTTTGCTGCAGAACGAGTTAAAAAAGGAATGTCGCTCGTTTTACCACCCACTAAGGAAACCTGTCTTGCAACAAATCAGCTTGTTGCAGGTTGCAAAACGTTGTTGTAGAAAGTAGAGAGTAGTTCTACTTTTTGCAACAAAATCTGTAGATGTTGCGCGATTTACCGGCCCAAGGCAAACTTGTTTAGCAGCAAATGCCGCAACTCTTGTGTACGGCGTCACTCCCGCGTAATTTTTTTCCAATCAAAAGTCAGTATTCACGCATCCTGCAAAAGTCCGATTTGTTGCAAGACAGGTTTGAACGTGAGTGGTAAACGCGCACCATGACCTTAGCTTTTAAGGTATTTTAAAATCACTTTAAAGTAAATTTGCATTTTTTTTTTTGTTACTGAAGCATTTGGCTGGAGGCACTCTACTGATTTGTCAGCTGGATGTCGCACTGAATGGAGTGACGCTTTATGATAGTCAAAGAAGCGCTTTGTCAAAGAGAAACTTGGATGCTGATACAATATCATACTGCGGTCTTACAAGGTTCGTGTGACAGCTTAAAAGGCTCTATACCTAATGCTCACGCCGACCAACAGGGGATTGTAGTGCTTTACTTTCCACTGGAATAGTTGAGCGTACGATTTACGCAGGCGCGCGTGGAGAGGCGCGCGCGGTGATTTTTACGCGCTCGTGTATTTCGTGCGCAATTGTATCCCTTAGGAAGATGAGAAACTACTCGTATTCTACCCGACCAACAGTCTGAGTCATAACTTCGCTCGCCACCGTGAATGTAGAATTTGATGGTGGGAGTTACCTATTTTCGTTACGTTTGATTAGGACTTCCAAATTAGTTTTCGTCAATCATAATCAATAGTATTTTTCGATTATGATAGGCGAATTGTTAATCTAGTTTTACCAGTTATTATCGTAGACCAAATTTAATAGCAATTTTTTAAAGCACTACTGAACCTTTTCGACATTGTACCATAGAAATGGTAATTTATAATTGGATTTATTGTTACTGTTGTTGTTTTGTTATTATTATTATTATTATTATTATTATTATTATTATTATTATTATTATTATTATTATTATTATTATTATTATTACTATTATTATTATTTTTATAATAATGTCCTGTATGAAAATCATGGTTTCTGCTGCCTTTTGACTTTTTTGGTTGAGGTTGCTTTTTTCTTAAAAACGTAGTTCTTTTCTGTCTTCCTTTCAGTTTGCAACGATTGATATTTTTGGTATTTTTCTTTCTGTTCCTTACAGTAACAGAAGCCATTTTGGACTGATACAGAGTATGGGAGGCGGAAAATACATATGTCACGTGTTTGCAGAGTATAAGGTCAGTGCTAGGAGTCATACAATTTGATGTAGCTTTTCATTTTATTGCTTTAATCGTGGCTCTCACTTAAATGTAATTGCTGTTATATGCAGTTACTTACCCGAGGGTTCGTGTATGACAAACTAATTATCCTTTAATTGGGGTTTCCACTATGAGAATTTGAAATACAGTTCACAGTGTATTACTGTATGTGTACTGCCATTTGGAGTGGTGTACCTGGGTTTGATTCCCAGATCAGCACTTAGGGTGTAAACGTGACTGAGGAGAACGTGCTGCCTTAGCTCTGACATGTGCAAATAGTTCGACTTTCTCGTCTTCTCGGATGACGATGAAACACCATAGACCCCGGCCTGCCTCATAGTACTTTTACTCTTGGTCTAATCTAACTCCGCGACGTAAGAAAAATAACTACAAACGCAACAACTGATCCCTTGCCTTGACTCCCTCCCCCCTCACCCACCTGGAAAGTGTCTTCCTCAAATTCACTTTAGAAGGCATTCATCCTGTAACCCATTATTTACAAATTGTAAACTAAGCCACAAGCAGTGTTTTATTTTCCGTTTTCCTTTTTTTCTGTTATTTTTTTTAATGTCCCCAAGGGAATGGATATTGGAACATTTACATTCAGCAGGTACTCGTTTAGGTTCTCGCTGCTTTAAGAAAAGAAAAAACAGCAACAACCAAGACGAGTCATTTTTAGCTGAAATCCCCACTTTGTTATACGAAAGTGTAAATTTCGACTATGCCAAAAGAAAGAATGAAAAATATACGCCATCTGATAACTTCAGGAAGTTAAACTGTTGTATACAAACGAAATCTGCAATGTGACTCAAAAATTATTTTAATACAAATATTTTAATATTGCAGACAAAAGCTGGTCCAATTGTTGCTGCCATTCATGAGACTCTGTGAAGATAAATTATAATGGTTCATGCATTATAATGGTTCATGGTATTTGTAGAATCAATTGTTTAGAGGTGACTCGAGCGAGGGGAGCTATTGACTCAGACTTTGTAAATAGAGTTCTAATACAGAGTTTATGAAAATCCGAGAATGAGACATTAATATAAGTAAGACAATGAAATTTATCTCATGTGATAACTGCTACAGCTATTTACTCCTTACTAGAATAACAATATTGTCAGAAAATGGAAAGATTGATTAGCTGTTATTGTGTTTGCTGTAATTCTGCGTGTATGGTTTTAGATCAATATAGGCAAACTCAAGTTATACGGAGCGTGTGTTTCGATGGCCCCTTGTTATGTATACGGCAATTAACCTGCAGTATGGTAATTGAACAATGAAAGGTGATAAATTGGTTCGATGATGTGAGAAGGTCCTTGGAAAGGCAAAATATAATTTCATTCTTGACATTTTTCCTCACATTAATGATATTGATTTTATACATTTTTTATGGTTTTATACTTCCCTTCATGTAAGTGCAATATTTTTGTAGAGCGTCGCATTGATGATCAGGAACAATTCACGCTGGATGTGATTAGAATGGGTTGAAATTTTTCAGTTACTTAGCAAGTGAACGAATGGATTTTTGAACGTATGAGCCAAGGATCGAATAAATGAGTGAGTGAGTGAGTGAACAAATGAATAAAGGGATGAATGAAAGAACGGATAGACTAACAAAAGAACGAACTAATGAATGAATGAACGAATGAGAAAGAAATAAATGAATGAATGAATGAATCAATTAAAGGGAATGACTGACAAACAAATACGTGGAAGGAAAAGTTAAGGAAGATAAAAGCGAGTTGACAAATTTTGCATCAGAATGAAACGAAGCGCATTGTAATGGCAATTGGTGTAAACTTATAATGTGCCCATTTTTTGTGAATTTGAGGGGAAAAAACTAATGTGTTGAGCAGAAGTTGTAGAAATATCATTTGGATACAGGTAGATATTGCCAAACTAGTGAAAAGTGCAAAAATGCTTAGGTTTTTCAATTGTTGTCTTTTTAAATGGTTATTTGTTCTTGGCTTGCTTACAGCGCGACGCCGCTAATACAAGTATGTAAGTGAAACTGTACTGAAAAGCGAAATGAAAGGGATATTTTTTACTAGGGTTGAATTCCAATTGAAAATAAGTCGACAGTTGCTCAAAACTTGAATAACTCTATCCTTTGGATAAACCTTTATACAGTAGATAACGCAGTTTGTTTCCCTGTTACATATATGCTGTGTAGCGATTTATCTGGTGAATAACGCTGTTCAGCGATTAAACAACCTAAGCCTGATAAATTAATTGAGTTTAAGAATTGAGTGCGTTAACCATTTTACTCCGAGAGATGGCCGAAGTCAATTTTCGAAAAAAAAAATTCAAATTTTATGTTGTAAAATTCTGAAAAACGGGTAGCACCGAGTGAAAATACTGCTGAAGAGGTTTTATTTGACTGGTAGCTCCACAGGATTGTAGTCACAGAGTCAAAAGTTAAAACTACATTCTAACATTGTAACATTGTAGGAAATCTTCAAAAGTTAGAGCTACATATTAAGTAGAAAATACCACGTGAACAAACTGCTGAAAAGGTTTCATTTGAATGTTACCACCATAAGATTTCATCCGAAGACTCAAAAGTTAGAACGAACCGTAGGAGGAAAATGGTTAAATACTCGAGTTCTAAGGGCGTTGTTAATTCCGAATATCCAATCCAGCTGATACAATTTTTAAATGCAACATTCCGAAATGTTGTCTTCACGTTAAATTGACTCTGTCCAAGCGCTAACTAGTTTGATGGTGTAGAGGGCGACTATGATAATTGTGTGGTTTTGATTGACTATTTTCGCATTGAAAAGCTCAATTAGCAATTCTTGCTTGTTTGAAGTGAAATTAGAGGAAATTAGACTGAACGTTTTTCTTTTATTGAGCTAATATATTTTGTTTAATACCTGCTAAAACTCGACTATCTCAACAAATAAGCCAGCTGGAAAAGAGTTTCTTATATATTGGTAAAAAGAGTAACCTAATATATTACAGATAAAACTAAAATAGCGAGACATTATTCAAATTATTTCTCGATCTTGTTTTCATGCATTCAAAGTGCATTGTTATTTTTCTAATTTATAGTTGAGTAATAAAAATTACCCAATCAGATTAAAAGTTTCGGGTGTAGATTATTTTTCATAAATTTTGTTATTGTAAGAAAGTTTCGTTATAAAAACATATTATCAGTTATAAATAGGGTTAATTTATTTTATAATTAGGCTTAATTTGTCTTTGTGGTGAATTGATGATAGGGCGACTTTTATGCACAAGATTTTCACCTTTGCGTAACTTATTGTCTGGCTAAAGGTAGAAGAATAAGCCTTGCATAAAACCAGAAATAACGAAATTTACTCAGTGGCGTGTGTTCCGAAGTGATAAAAGGTTTCTATGAAAGTACATTTCATAATAGGGCGAGTTATTTTTCTTGCACGTAAACCCTGGTCAAACGAGGCAATTCCATATGCAACATAATTTTCCTCCATCTTTAAGAATGGGCCGTTTGTCTTGACGCACCATAACTTTCATGAAAGTTTATTTCATTCAGCGTCTTCCGGTGCAAGCAGTGTGGAATTATTTAAGGTCTTTCAGTGACATCATGTCCTGTGAGTAATCCTTTTTTTATCGGTGTATGTTTTGCGAAATCCCGTCTAGCCTTAACTTTCCTTTCGAGCAGCTGAGTGTCTGCTGTTGGACTTGCAAAGAAAAACAAATTTCTTACAGCAAAATTTTGTCAAGAGTTGCCCTGTCATTGAGAATATTGTATTAGGTAAGAAATGATATATTTTTTTAGTTCCCAAATTTGTTTAGTGTTACGCTGGTCACGTGCACATTGCATCATGAACAATGGTTTAAACGATGTTTTACTGTTGAGTTGTAGATTTTTTTGACAAAATAATCACAGAATTGAGTAGAATTAGAACGTGTACCTCTGCATCAAGCATTTCTTCTTGTGAATTTGTGCAACGTTTAGGGAAAACGTGCATGCTGCATACTGCAGCAGACTGCACACTTTTGCTGTCTTAAATGTTGTTGCTTGTGTATTGAACTTTCTGACGTATCAAAGAACAAGGAAAAATGCTGGTGTGGAGGACCATTAATAATCACCTGTACAGTGCTGGTATGGTTGAAGAAATTAGAGATTTATTGTAATAAAAGTTGAGGTTATGCTGCATTGAATTTAGATCGTTTTTGATGTCTTTAGCACTAAATTACTTTGAAACCTCTCAAGATAGCCACTTTATTCCTCTTTCCACGTGTATGAAATCACTGAAAACGGCCAGTGCTTGAAGGTTTTTTTTTTGCACCAATAGTTACTGATGACGTTTGAATCATAAACTAATCTCAAATAATACACGGCCCAACTGGCCAAGGCCTGTCTGCAATGGTGTTCAGCAATGTGATTGTTGACACCACCATTTTCTCGTTGCTCGTTTGTATTCGGTCAGTTGCGCGCTCAAGTTTCTGCCGGTTTCACCAATGTAAGTAGCCTGGCATTCGCAGCATTTGATCTTGTATACTGCTCCCTGCCTGTTCTCCGGCTTGTCTTTTGCCTTGAAATTAGTAAGGAGTCGTCGTAAAGTGGTAATCGGTCTGTGTGCAACACGCATATTGTAAGGTTGTAGTGTACGTGCGATAGTTTCAGAGGTGCCTCTGATGTACAGTATAGTCGTTGCCGTAACAGGGCCAGAGTTGACGTTGGTCTGAGTGTTGGAATCAGTGTTACTGTGATTGTTCCGTCTAACAAAGTCCGTGTTGTAGTTGTTCTTACTAAAAACGTTGTTTAGGTAGTCAGTCTCGTCAAGAGCCATTATGGCTTTTGGTCTCCTCTTGTAGGCTGTCAGGTGAGTTGCAAACTAGTTGCGCTCGTCTTGTCAAAGTCCGGATAGTGGGAGCCTTGTGAGAGAGCGGGTATGTGTCGGTTTTCTGTAAATAGTCGTTCGTAGTCTGTAGTTGTCGCGAATGACCAAGCAGTCTAGAAAAGGTATCTTACCATTTTCTTCGATCTCCTTGGTGAACTGTATTTCCGCGTTCTGTCTGTTAAAGTGTTCGTGAAAATCGTCGATTCCACCTTTGTGTACGCCGGTGAATGTGTTACTAATGGCAAGGACGAAGACAAACCGGAGGAAAGACAGGGAGCAGTATACAAGATCAAATGCTGCCACTGCCAGGCTTCTTACATTGGTGAAACGGGCAGAACCTTAGCGCCCGACTGACCGAACACAAACGAGCGACGAGAAATGGTGACGTGAACAATCACATTGCTGAACACCATTTACAGGCGGGTGTCAGTAAAACGCGGGGTCGGAGTCTATCTTTTTTTTAAAGAGTGCTGTTTTGGGGTTAGGGTCAAGGTTAGGGTTACGGTTAGTGTCAACCGTGACAATAGTACGGATCGAAACGCACCAGTTACATTACGAGTCTTCATAGCCAATAACATCACGACTTAACTGACAGACGACCAATGACATTGCGACGTAATTGAGATTACCAATTAGATCAATAACCAGAGTATAATTGTATCAACTGACGTGATACTTTTTTTTGACTCTGAAGATGACTTTCACACAGGTTGTCGAAACGTCAGTCACTGCAACAACAACAGTCCTATCCAGGACTACGTTCACCCGGACGATCAAACTCAACCTACTTTTAAAAATATTTTTGTCCTGTGTAGTTTATTCTGCGTCTTCCTCTCCCGGATTTTGATGACTACATGTATCACTATCGGTATTGTGTTAGCGACGTACCGTTTTAGCGAAGAAAGGCCCCTACAATATGTAGTGATTGCTTTTTCTAAAAATTATCTAAGTAGGCATAAACGACCAGGCAAAATTGAAAATTCAAGTGACGAGACTGCTATTTGACACTGTGGCTTGTAACGTGAATATTTTTTTCCTTAGTTTTCGGAGAAACAGTTATCGTTGGCTTAGATTTATGTTGTCAATAGCAATCCTGAGGGGTTACCAGGAGGTTAGCAACGAAGTTGGAAAACCTCGGGAATTCCAGGGGGTAGGGGGGGGGGGGGTGTGGGGAAAAACTCCACAATGGAAAAAAAACCCTTTGATAACTCTTAAAATTTTTGGGGGAGACATATTTCTTTTTTTATTATTTTAAGAAAGGTTTTTACTGTGGGGTTGGAAGGGTAATTTTTTTTTTCTTATTTTTGGGGAAACAAGTTTTTTTTGGGTTAAATTTTTGTTGGCAAAAGCAATCCTGGGGGGGTACCAGGGGGTTAAAAACGAAGTTGGAAAACCCGGGGAATTCGGGGGGGGGGGGGGGGGGGGAGGGTATGGAAAAACTACACAATGGAAAAAAAACCCTTTGAGTACTCGTTAAACTTTTGGAGGTGAACTATTTCCTTTTTTAATATGTTGAAGAAAGATTAAAATAACAAAGAATGAATCTTTAAACGTATAAAGATCTTTTTATCTTGTGGCACAATTCGTTTTCGCGTGGAACACAAATTATAGATCATTGTCCTTTGATCATCGCTATCAGACTCGGTTGAAAAAGGTCCGTGTACCAGCACCTTGAAGGATGTCATAGTGGTTTGTTGTCCATTTAAAGCTGTACGCTCCCTGTTCTTGTTTTTTTCACATACAAAGAAAAAATTACAAAAATTGAAAAAGAAACTAGAACAAAAGTACAGTAGCAAAATTACAATTTATAAAAGTCATCGAAATTACAATTTAAATTATCTTTACGCTTAATTATCCATTATGGCTCTTGGCTTATACATGAAAAAACAGTAACTTTTATATTTTTTTTTACATAACAAAGTAAGGTAACTGACGAAAACTTTTGCTGGTTTTCAGTGTCACGCCATTCAAAATAGATCAAAATAAAAATCAAAACAGTTCAATAGATAAAGTCCAGAATCTGGGAAATGAAAGGAGGTACATATACAAAGACCCTCGCCGAGATTCAGGTCAGAGGAGTATTTCGTATTCGAGATATCTGAAGAAATGTTTTACCCAAACTTATAGAGATTTGTATGGAGACGCCATGCTGGTGCTCACCTGGATGAGCTCCAACATGGCGGACGGAAACCAACAGAAACATCTGTTACCGAGTTGTGCTACAAAAGCGTGAATTTACTCCTGGAGGAACTCATAAACATTAAAGTAATACTTTTTCTAATGCTTGAACTGTTTAGATAGCAAAATTCCTCGAAAAAAGTCACTTTTTCAACCTAAATGACAGCTCTCTCGGCCGTCATGTAAATGCTGCGTCGCACAAAAGCTTAGAAATTCACGCGTACTCTATTACAAAACCAAGAACCCTTTTGAAGCGAAAATTTGTTTGAAAATTAGTTTTCAGCTCCTCTAATACACCATGAAAGTAAAATCTCAGTAGGATCGATAGTTTTGTAGTTTGAATTTTAGTGACGTCATGTGAAAACCAATTGCCAGTCTGATTAATTATTGCACATCCTTCGCACACATATCCACAATGGCTTTAACCCATTCGCTCCTGGAGATAGTTTTTGGGTTTAAGTAGGTAGTCTTGACTTTTACTTTTCTCTTTCTCTCCTCCCTTCTTTTTTCGCTTTTCTTGCCTCATTTTTTTTTCTCTTGCTGGGCATTTAGTAGGCTTCTTTTTGGTGGGAAGAGTTTTTAGGAAAGCTTTTAGGATCTTAGGATTAGGTGAAAGGAAAGGTAGGTGAGCAATGGAACAAGATTTTCATGGAGATTTTCAGGTCAAGGTCACGTGGTTTTTTGCTTCTTTCTCCGGTGTCCTTGACTGAATTGTGCTCATTCTGGTATGGTTTGAAAGATCTCTTCACTCTGCACAAGTCAGCGAAGAAAGTTGTCCTTGACCGTTAAAACTGATGACGTCACAAAGGGTAGAAAGGACCGTGCTTTCTTCTTACACTGATTTTCAACTGCAATTTGAATAATTTGCAATCTCGTTAAAGCAAAGAAACAACAGGTCTACTTAGAAAACAAAAAATCTTTGCACGTGCTGCATACTTTTGCAGTTGGCCGACACTTGTCGACTGAGAATCGAAAGCATTCATGATAAATTTATCATAGTCGATGCCAAGGCAGAATGAAAGAAAAGTTCGAAACCTCTATATATTTGGGTTGGTTTTCGGAAAACAGAACACGCTAAGACCAGCAAAATAGCGTAGCATATGGACAAAGAAATAGCATCACTACATGGAGAAAGCAGCCGTTTAATATCTTTCAAGGATATTTTCACAAAATGCAATATTTTATAAGTCCGAGTCCGAGTCGACTATAGTGATTACAGGGTTACGCACTGAAAATACTAACTGAAGCACTAACCAAACTGATTAGGGTTAAGCCTCACATCACCTTCTACTAAAAACTTTACACTTAATTTTCCATTTCTTCACTATTCCTTGCCTACGGCAGCATTTCTACCCTTTAGGTATACTAGTTATATAATCCTATGATCTACCAACACAGGTTTTCATGATCATGTAGGTTTCCTTGATAGTTAGTAATGTTACTGAAAAATAGATATGACAAGGTTTTCATTGTTGAGGTACATAGGGCCCAAATATTTTTCCATTCACAAAACCAAAAAAAATATTCAAGAAAAACTTGCTAGAAGATTGAAGGGCTCAATCATTAAGAGCAGACAGAGCCAGAGGACAAAGCCAGGATTAATGAAGGTCATACTGGTACTATGCAATTATACCTCTTCTGGTGGCTGATGGCATAAAACAAGCTGAGTCTGAACGTGCTGGAGACAAGGTAAAGTAAAAACCTGCCAAAAGGAACGCGGATTAAGGGCGTCCAGGATATTTAGACCAATAGTAAGGACCAGAAAGTACCTCGTACATTAACAAGAATTACTTACAATTAAGCTTGACAAATAAAGCAGGTTGTTTTAGAAGTAGTAGTAGTAACGGTTCAAACGGTTATGGTAGTGCCAGTTCTCTTGTCTTCTATTAATAGTTTTTGTCAGGGTCGATACAACAATAAATTATAATTTAAGTTGGGAAATCTGTCATGTTAAAACTAACTGAAAAAAAAAAAATGAATAATTTTGGCCACTAATTAAACCGTTATCCTTAAACGTTACCATTTCGTTTGTCATTAGAGTACATTTCATGTAATCTTGTACAATTTTAGGAACTTTTTCCTCTATAACGGCAGACTCACGTCTTCTCTGTCTATTCCCGTCAAAATAAATGGCAAGGATCTTTGGAAATGATCCGGTAAAAAATGTGGCTAATGCTTGCATCACAGGTGTCGCTCCAATATCAAAACGTAATATCAACAGGAAAGTAAGATAGACAAAACTAAGAATTAAAGTGACTTTTAAAAGCAGTATGCACACACTTTCTCTTTTAGGCATTAGTTCTTCACACGCCATGTTTAAAAGCTCCTCCAGAATTCTAACCTCGTAGCGCTTGGAGAAAGAATTACCAGGCATATCTAATTGCTCATGATCCACCGTTTGTGGTTCCCTTCCGAATATTTCGTCATCCTGTTGTGTTTGTTTGTAAACCTTAAAGAGCGTTAGAGAGAGATCATGGTATTTGTTAGTGAAAGAACTATAGCTATTCCACAAGTAATAAAAAACGAGAACGAAGCAGACCAAATATGGGAGGCCTTTCTCAGAAAATATAAGCATATAAACAAGTATAGCTATAGCTGTCGCGAATCCAAACGCTGCCTTTAACAAAACGATACATGCTATAACCAAAATCATGTGACTAAGGGATCGCCGTATAAAAGCTAAAACACTTGAAAAACAGTAGTTTCGTTTTGTAACCAACTTGGGGGCACCAATTGAGGTGATCACACCGATGGGAGATGTAAAACGTACAGTGCTAACTGTAACTACTACGAGCATTGCTACAAGTAGAATAACAGCTGCGAATGGAATCGTTAACAAGAAAACAATGAACATGGTAAAACGGAGGAGCCAAATAGTAGAAGCACCTGCTTCCCACCAAGACAACTGCCAAGAAGGCAATATAGATCGATACATTTTAGAATACCTCACAAGGCATTTACGGAATAGCGTACCAGATGTGACTAAAATTAATGGTTGTAAGCGTAAGTGATTGACAATTTTCTGAGGAAGGTTATCATTGTATCTGAGTTTCGGTTTAAAGAACCGGCAAATGAGACACGGCTTCTTAATGGCGGACACATTAAAAAAAGAATCGAAAAATGCCTGAAGAAAATAAAATGTCAACCACACTAAAAAAAGTGGTTGCGTTAAGTCCAAAGTCAGGAGAATTTCTGATTTGGATATATGTCGTATCCACGTAGAAGAGTATCACGAACCAGTTTTTGCACTTTCGTCACGTTTATTCTGCCACTTGTAATTTCCTTATTACACTTCTTAAACGTTGACTACTCCGAGCGAGAGGGAGCGTCAAAAAACCTGGTCCATTTCTGCCCTGTCTTCATGTCTAATACCGCTTATATAACCTAAAATATCCTCAAGGGACTAAATAAACACTAGGTAATTTACGCGGTAACGCCGGCTGTGGGAGGAATGCAAAACAATTTCAGTGCGTATTTCGCCAGTTTGGTGTTTGTCGAAGATTATGTAATCAAAAGCAAGTGCAGGTATGAGGAATGGAAGTGGTACTAACGCAGCTCGCGCAATAAACCTTTTCACTCTGTTACACAAATTCTCATCAACTTCGGAACAGAAATAGTTTCCTATCAGACTTCTGATACCAATCGGGCTTGTTTCTTCTAGAGAAATATGACGGATGCCATTT